TATCTATAGTACGATGCAGTACCGGAAAGGAACAACTGTGTAGTAAACTACTGTAACAGGAAAAGACTGAAGGAAAATTATGAAAGTAAAGCAATATAAAGAAAAAAAAAATTGTGCAAATAAAAAAAAAATGCAATAAAGGAACAAAACTGAAACAACTAAATGTACCTGATTAATTATGGTGATGCTACAAAACATATTCCAATTGCATGATATAAAGAGGTTAGACAAACATTTACAAATTATAAAAGAAAGGTTAAATGATAAGCATATGAGAATTTAAAGTGGGATATCAGCTTTTAATTTGGGGTTAGGCTCAGACTAGATCTCTTTTTCTCTTTTATCTCGATCCCACAGGCAACTGATATATTGAAGTCAACTTATCAATATCAAGTAGAGGTCACCAACGAATCACCCATATAATCAGGCAACCTTAGACCCTATCATTCAATGAATGTGCGAATCTAAATAGTATCCAGACTTATCTTATTAAAGGTACAAAGTACTTGTGTGAGATAGTATATGAACTTATCGGGGCGTAGTGCACCTATGTGTGATGCTAGGATAAGTGATGTATAGTATTTGAACTTATCGGGATGTGGTGTGCTTATACGTGATATTAGGATAAATGATGCATAGTATCTAGACTTTCAAAGAAATATAATATCTATTCTTGTGATATCTATTATGTGGAGTGTCAAGTGTATAGTGTCTGATGTGTTACAAACATAGTATATGTCGTGTAGAGTATAATGTATAGTGTTTATTGTGTATCGTGTTTTTTTTATTTTGTAGTGTATGAAATATGTTATATGATATATGGAGTGCATATATGAATGTTATTAAGTGTATACATATTAATCCAGTGTATAGTGTCTATGGTGTAGGATTTATCGTTTTGTGGGTGTAACATTTGTGTAAAACTTGCAATATCTGCACTTTTACAAGTGTAGTATCTGTGCAAAACTTGTAATATCTGCTCTTTTACAAGTGTAGTATCTGTGCAAAACTTGTAATATCTATTCTTTCCTAATTACCAATTCTCAAGCCTTTTGAAAAAGGGTTAGAGCTGTCAACGACTTAGGGGTAAAAGGGCATCGCACTAATTGAATATTGATTTTTATTTTCAGCTATAAGAAGAGCTGATCAATGGTTCTCTTGCATCATTGTCTGTTACCCTGCACCTCGAACTTATATCCCACTTTAATAATCCATATGCTCTCTCTCTCTTTTTTTTTAATGAGAATTTATTATCCAAATGAAATCAAAACGTATAAAGTCCCAACATAAACTTTCACAATCTCCAAGTTCAAATGAAATGAATATAAAGCTCGCTATAACACCCTTCTGGTAGCTAAAAGAACTAACTGCAACTATCCCAACAAGATATTAAAGGGACGTTACACTATAGTCAATTTGACTCAAAGAGTCAAACATTTCAATTTTCTTAGAATATCAAACAAATGTACATACCATCCAAATATTTCTCGCAATAGGGAAACCGTCAAGCCAAAATAAAAAGACCCAAATATATATTCTCGAGTAAGGCAGTAAAGAAGGGAACCACCATTTGTATATCTCAAACAAAGGAGCAGCTATGGGGCTAACCCGAGTCCAGTTACAATATAAAGAAACTACAAAAGAAGGCTCACGGCCGGGGACAGCAGAGGGAGCAGACAAAGTCCAAATTCAGTAAAGAAGCAAGACAGAGGGTCATAACAAGTAAACCTAAACCCAATTTAATCAGAAAATAAAAAGAGCAGTATTTTTTATCACAATTGAATCCAAAAGATTCAAAACTGGACCTCAAGAAATGGAGAGAACAAAGCAATACTTTCAACAACAATTCATCCCTAAAGGAACCAAACCCGAGACCCAACAGGGAGCAACTAAAATCTTTTCCATATAAATTTGATTGCAAAGAGTTAAAACTGAGCTCAGCAAGGAGCAAGAACCAAACTGAATCCCAACAGGGAGCAGGAACCAAAACCGAACCCCAGCAGGGAGCAGGAACTAAAATCGAGCTCCAATCACAAGGCAAAACTGCAGCCTATCATAAGGCAAAGCCGATTTTAGTATAGGGGTTAAGCTAAACCACCAAAGGACCAAAACCGAGCTCAATAGAGAGACCACATTAAACCACCAAAGGTCAAAACCGAGCCTCAATTACAATGCAAGACTACAACCCCAAATTGGATATTAAAACCAAAAAAAAAAAATGATCTCAACATATATATTCGAAATAAGAGCAACAAGAGGATCAAAACTGCAGTCCCAAATCTGGTATTAAAACCCAAAAGAAATAATCTCCAATATGCATTCAAATAAGGCAACGAGAGGAGCAAAACTGTAGCCCCAAATCTGGTACTGACACAAAAATATCCTCAACATATATATAGTCGAATAGAAGTAGCAAAGAAGACAAGAAACCAATCTCCGACCAAAGCAAGCCAAACCGAGCCCCAGCAAAGGGGCTAGCAATAGAATAATGTTCTGAATACAACCCAACTAAGAAAAAGGAACTGAACCAAGACAAATCCCATATAGAACTGAACTTAATCTCATACAAAACCAAACCAAATCTCAGACCAAAACTGAACCCAGCACAAGGGCCAAATTGAATCACCCGGAGAAATAAAATCGAGCTTCAATCACAAGGCAAAACCATCAAGAATTCCTGATGCAATATAAGCCAAACCGAGCCACCAAATGGATATCCATATGCAAAATCTAATGCCCAACCAAGGAGCTTAACACAAAATTTCCCGTGAATCAAATAAATCTAAGAATCTCCATGTTAAAGCAATGCAGCGAGAAATAATGCAGCAAGAAAATAGTAGTTAAAGGTACTCAAATATTTATTGAGATATTCAATTTATCTTTCTAGCAATCTTCTAACAATCTACTGCATTACCTCCAATATGAATAAGTAAAGGTGGTTATAATATAGATATTCATGAGGAAACTTTATTTCTTCATCAAACACACAATCAAGCTAAAATATCATTTACATTTGATCTACCAATCTCATAATCCAAAATAAATTATCGCATGGACAACTAATCCAGAAATTAAACAGCATTCTAGAAATAAATAAAGTCTAACCTTAACTCCTTGCTAATGCCAGAACGAGAAGAGTAAGAAAATCCTGAAACAGAAACTTCCAACAAAGAAAGCGCTCTCAACTATGCCTCCTTGAAATCTCCAGAAAAAAAAAATCAGCCCCCAAAACACTTCCCCCAAAGGGGTATTTATAGTCATCAAGATGACAGGGGCTCACCGACGGTGACAAAAAAGGTAGGTGATGAGAAACGCCCTTAAAGGGTAAGAGATTCATCAAGATTTAAAATAGGGGGTTACCAGATCCATTCGAGCGGGAAAAGCCGTTAGAAACTTGTTACCGGCGAAGCAACCGGTGAGGCAACCGGCGACGATGGTCGGGAAGGAGGAAGATGACCGGAAGACGGGCAAAAAAACCCCTCGAGAATCGGTCAAAAAAAGAAGGGAAGAAGGGATTCGGCTAGGGCGTGATTCGGTCCCAGGAGGAGAGGGGAAGCTTCGAGAGAAATGAAAATAAAAAAATGGGGTTTTAAAACCCCTTTTTACTGAAAAAAATTTATTATTTTTTTTTTTAATTAAAAGAAAATATTGAATTTTGTGCGACTCACTTGTGTGCAGCGCTCCAACAAAATGAGTGTCCTTCCTAGCTAAAATTGACGTTCCAGACGCGACAGCGCAGTCCATTTCGTCATCCGGAATCATCCGGACAAATTTGTCGACGATCGCGCCAAATTAACTTCAATTCGTGTGTGGCGCGTCAAATGAAATTATTTTAATCTGATTGGAACCGTTTAACGAGCATATCATTGACCGGTCTTCACTTAATCAATAACCAAAGTCAAATAAACTGCTCGCGGCAGAAAGTCAAACGTCACACGCCGTGGGGTTCACTTATGGCTTTTAAATCCCTATGGGAACTCAGCAAGAGTTTCAACATGTTCGGTTATAATCGACTCAACTGGACGTCGAGGATTGGAAACCGTCAATATGAAACTGCAAGGAGCGAAGAAATGGACTGAATTTTTAAGTCGTATAGATTCCAGTCTAGTTCCTAGGAGAGTCAAAATAGAAATCCTAAGGCTAGATCCTAGAGTATCTAAGGAAGAGAAAAGAAGACCTCAAAATGAGGTCAACAATGATCTTCAAAGAGATTAAGGAAGTAGTCCCTCAACTTGATTGTCACTTACAACTGAGGGAAAATGAAGGGCCTCCTCTTCCCTATGTAATAGAGGGAAGGAGCTATAGATAAAGGAAGAAATTTGGATTTTTTTCCCTTTTTTTTTTTTTTTTTTTTTTGAATGACACAATGGATTGTATTATGTCCTTTGACTGAATGACTTAACAAGATACTTTTGGCTACAAACCATTAATTGTTTACTATACCGAGACCCTTGATTGAATCCATAATTATGACCAAACCTATCTTTGACAATGTATGAATTGGTTACTTGCAATTCATTGTACAAACTGTATTATAAGGTTTTGAGTAGTGTATCTATGGTTAAGTCATTTTTGGTAGCTCGAGCAGCTATGAGCATGTGAAAATTTGGTTAGCAACAAGAAAATTTTAAGTAGCTCAAACTGGTGATAATTATTAAGGAATGATTTCCAGTTGATATTGCATATCAGCATAAACTATAAAATAACCAAATTTGAGCATTATTGACCAAGAGGTGGCATAGAATTGTTAGCATGGATTTCGCATGTTAATTATAAGTATAGATATTCAAGAGACAAGCTGGGTTCTTTTTTAGGATGCAATCATCACCATAAACTCAAGAGTTATTTATCCTAGACACAACCACTAAACCAATGCAGATAAGAATGCCTGGTGTAATTAATGTTTTGATCATTATTAGAAACCACTGGAAATGTTTTACAGCATAAAAATTGCTGCAATGGCGCCATGCTTTTAAGTTAAAGCTGGCAATAGCACTTACTGCATCTTCCATTGTTGCTCGCCATCCTTGCATAGAAGACAAGCCATATCTAATTCTCTCATTCTCTCCATCTTCAGAAAATTTATCAGTTTTAGGAGTGCTGAGATATATGCCCATTCCTGCGTAGGGTGAAAAACATTATACTGCAACATAAGAAAAAATTTATAAAAAAATGACAAAACAAAGAAATGAAGTATGAAGCACAATGGTCCCCAAGTTTATTTCACTAATTGTGAAGAATTATCCTGATCCTCGTAAACCTTGGGATGGAATCAACTATTTGCAGCTGCAAAGATCAACTTTGCACTAAAAATTCTAACTGCAATGAAATGATTAAAAAAAATTATTTTATCCAATCCAAGTGCTAAGGCTGTGCTTTTGAAAAAGAAAAGGACATCTATTTTCAAGAGGAAGGGTGGTTACAAATATATAACTTTCTGACAGGAGCAGCCCCAGAATTGAACAGTTAATAGTGCTACCAGTAAATGAACTAAACCACCAACTGATTTATCCTGTTCTTCTGCAGCATATGCATATGGTGATAAAAAAAGGACAAATCAGCACACATTTACTCCAAAAATATTAATTGTTTGTTTACTCTAGCAAATACAAGTACTCTGGCCATGCACGTATTTAAAAAAAATGATATTAGAAACAGAGGTACTGAAGCCCAGACTACAATTAATGAAAATCCCCCTCCTGTAGAAACAAAATCATAAATCTCACCACCAAAACTCATAAAAATCCCCATATTTTTTCAGCCTGTTTAGTTTCCTCTATTCACGCACAGCTTATGCAATGCAACAACATCACGTACATGCACACCATAATCAACAGGGATCCATCAAAAGCCCAAAAGCTGCACAAATAATTCAGCATCCACCTCCATATACGCTCGAGACCATCGTGCCAACGCAATTAAACTATCAGTACAACCCCCAGAGAGAAATTTCTTTTCGATATTAAAAATTTTGAAACTATGCAACACATGTATGAGAGAAAAATGAGCATAAACCCTAATAAGGGTGCTTAAAGCAAATTCATCCAAGGCAGTCAAACAAACTGGATTAAGAATACCCTTACCCTGACTATCTTATACTGCTCGACCAAAATCAATGCGCGTAAACAGCAATTAGGATCAGACTAAAGGCAATACACACCTTTAAGAAAATACACGCCTGGAAGATGGAGCTCCACCGCTAAAAGTCGATCCGACGTGAATTCAGAGAGAAGAGAACAGAGAGAGTTTAATTCTTCCCCAAAGTCAGTCGGGCAGACCAACGACCAACGCGGGTGGAAAGAGAGAGAGAGGGCGGTTAGGAAGAATCGGGACAAGTCGGCGAATTTGCCACAATGGTCCACCATTCCGACCTGCACTTCATCACTATTGTTATTTTAGGATAATTGTGTTTCATCAAAGTTAGTATTAAGTTATAAATTTATATTTAATATATTACATTTGTATCTTTGCATAGAAAAAAATAATTACAATCGTGTAAGTTTCAAGCAAGAATTGATACATAATCTTCTCTCCAATTATGAAACTCACATTTTTAAAATGCTTATCAACAAATTTTTATCATGCACGAATTTCGATGTATTTTTTATAAAAATATTCCAAAGTCAAATTAAGGTCATTCATGCCCCAATTTTAGGAAGTTTATAATCACACTGGTTGTCTCGACAAGACGAATCCAATGATATCAAAATATGTCTAGTCTAATTCCAATCAATGTCAGATGAAGTCGTTGAAGTATAATTTAAGGCTTTTGAATCGTCATTTGAATGGTTAAATGAGCTCTACTTTTGGCATTTTAATGGTCAAAATGAGTGTTTCAATGTTATGAATCAAATGAGCCTAATATTGCTAAATTTTGAGTTCTTTAAGGTATTTAAATCATTAAAACAAACATCTATAATCAATGGGATCACAAGGACTGTTTGATAGTGTCTTTTAGGAGGTTATGTATCAAAAGACTAACATCTTTAATAATAATTGAATTACTATTGTACAACTTATGTAATACAAGTCTTTATAGCAAAAAATTATTTTATTTTAAGATGGGATTAATATTGGTGATTATGCTTTAAAGAATTTGATTTAATCTATATATTATTTATCTCTTAACAGAGCATGATGACACATTGCCATGTAATTCTTAAGCTAAGAAATTCTAGAATATTATCTATGTGTCAACCTAAACTCAATATTTTAGAAAGATAATTTTATTACTATTTTAAATCAAATCGCACTTGATTTTTATATGACTCAGAAGTCTAATTTCCAAAATATTTGAAAGTGACATCATAAAAGCAAAATTCATTTTTCTTATCTTATTTGCTAATAGTGGTATCAGAGAGAGTTTTAAGGGTTTGTTTGAACAACGCGTATTGCGTACGGAGAGCGCACGCAGTGACGCAGAGCTGCGTGCGCTCTCCGATCACAACCGCACATCAACCCAAGTCTGTATCATATAGGCTTGGGTTGATGTGTGGTTGTGATCGAAGAGCTCTGTGTGCACTCTCCGCACGCAATAATTTTTCTTGTTTAAGGGGGCTGTCTTTCATAAAAGTCCAATCTAAAGCAACGTTAATGTAAATTGCAGTATCAAATTCCAGTTAAGAATAATGATAACTTGTTTGAATGGAAATTTTGTTTACATTAATAACCGTAGTTTGCATTTAACTCTCGCTAGTTGTCTCCCTTTTCTTCCCCTTTCTCTATCGCATTTCTTAAGTGACATAAAAATCTTTTAGCAATGGCTCTTTTTTGGGCCTCGAGGGATGCCATAAAAATGGGCTCTCAATTTAGCAAGATAACTAAAGTCAATTAACAATATTATTTGATATGTCATTAACAAATTTTTAACATCTAGCATGAATTTCAATGCATTATATGGATCTCGAGCAAATCTTTTAAGAAAAAAATATTCAAACTTTGATTAAGAATTATTCAGAACTCAAATTTCAAGAAACTTATAGTCAAATTGATCAGCTCAACGAGACGGAGCCAATGATATTAAAATTGATCTAATTCGAGTCAAATCAAGCACTCATCAAGCATTAAATTATTTTTGGAAGCTTTTCAAGACATTAAACCTTCTGATCGAGTGAACCTCTCCGAGCCGTCCCGATCAGAATTGTTCATATTCTTTCATAAACTGCACCCAGAACTCTGTAAATAAAGCCTCACTCATCTCATGAGAGGAGGGGAGAGCTGGAAGATTGAGGAAGAGCTTGAAGCTTTGAGAATGAGTTGAAGTTCAACATTACTCCTGCTGTTATCGACCACCGCTGACCGTCGTCGATGACCGCCAATCGCCATTGACCACCACTTGTCGGCCGCCACCAATCGCTATCAGTTGTCGCCAACAGGTTCATCCGTCAATATTGTAATTCAGAAGACTTTGTAACTCTTTCCTGCATGTGGGACAATGAGTCTATAATCATCAACTTATGGCGGATTTTTACAATTAGGCCAGACCCCATGATTTTTTTTTTCTTTTATGGGTCTTCTCTATAAAAACTTCTTATCTCTCTACTGGTTGCTTTCTTTTATTTTTGTGTGTGATGAATTCTCGTGTAATGTTAAGAAAATAATTTGTCACTCCATGGCCGCAAATCTTCTAGCACACATCAGTCATAATGGTAGTTCAAATAATTTAATTTTTTAAAAAATATTCAATATTAATATGACTCAAATTGTAAATATATATTTTTGATAAATATCAAACTTCTTAGGCTACTAAACCATTTTTAAATATATGCCTACGCGTACGATTTGAAAGAAACCCTCCTATTGTTGGGAAAAAATTTGCGTACATAAGACGTACAGAGAGCTGCGTACATCTGTAACCTGCAAACAGGTTACAGGGAGGATTTCAGGAGGTTATAATCGTGTTATACACCCTATAACCTCCCTGTAACCTACATATATATGAAAACAGAAACGCGAAACTTACTCGAAGGTACAGGTAGGTTACAGGGAGGTTACAGGGGGTATAACGCGGTTATAACCTCCTAAAATCCTCCCTGTAACCTGTTTGCAGGTTACAGACGTACGTAGCTCCTATTGTTGACGGCTTTCTCAAGCTTACAATTTATGGATATTTATTTTTCTATCTTACGAATCATTTGTTAAGGATTTAAATTATTAATTATAAATGTTTAATTTATGTAAATCATGTTGACTCCAAATTCGTGTATGACGATACCAGTATCAAATTAACAAGACTTATGATATATAAGGCAGCTCGAAATTAAATAATTAAAAAAAAAAACAGAACTCTTAAAGAGAGAAATTTTGATTTTGAGCACAAAAATGACCAAAGAAATTTCTCCCCTCCCTTGGAAAATGATCTTAAAAAACTTAGGGTCCGTTTGGGGCAGCTTATAAGTGTGGGCGGCGTTTTCAAAACGCCCGCCATACCGTTTGGTTCGCGCTTTTCGCCAGCTTATCCGAAACTGCGTTTGGGTTTTTACACTAAACGCAGGCCGCCCGCGGCCCGCCCGCGGGCCGTGTTTCAGGATAAGAAGCTTATCCTGAAACGCACAAGCTGCCCCAAACGGGCCCTTAGTGGCACAAATTTTGTAGGATCGATCGTCCAATGTTTTCATTCCCAAACCAAGCAATATATAAAATTGAATCGACCAAATGAGATATAGGACCAAACAAAAGTATTTTGATTTAACCAGATTGTGAAATCCTAATAGAGATGTATCCATTTTGTTGGTTCAAATTAATTGATTGATGGTTGATGGATTTGCTAAATCAATAGATTGATTGATTTAATTTAATCATAATATAATTCAACTTTTCAGTTTAGCTGATTCTTTCTGAAGTGAAACCTTAGTAACTCTTAAAATCATCCAACAATGCTCCATTAGCTCCATTAGATTAACATTTTGGTTAAAATCACTTAATGCGCACCTTATTCATTATAAATTTTGGCATCTTATATATACATAGATGCATAAATTGAGATGTCAAATGTTACAAAATTTTTGTGAGTGTTATTTCTGATTTGGTTACTTTTCACTATCTTCGTAACCAATATATTACACATTCGAACATGAGTAATTTTCAATTTTATTAATTTTCTTGATGCAAGATATCACATCACAATTGAATCCCTTCCTGCAAATACTTTAGCTTCAATTTCTAATAGAATTAAAATTAAATTAAATTAAATTCAATTCAAACTGACATGACCTGAAACTAATTTGAGCCAAATTAACTCGCGCAAACATTACAATCAGCTGAACTAATCTCATTATTTGCAAAATCATACCCAAAAACTCATGCAATTACCAACAAAACCTCAATTTAGAAAAACAATTGACACAAAACAAAGCATTTGCATTATTCCAATGAGAATCAAAAGATGAAGGAGACTCGACGCCTAATGACTTCCAACTCGAAAACACAAGAACAATTAAGAAGATTCGAGAATCATATAGAAATACACACAATTTAAAGATGAACCGGTTCACGGCACTCAAACCGGTTACGGTTCAAAATTGACCGATTCAACACTGCCAATCTCATTAAAAAATATCTCCTTAAACTTTCCCATCTTGCCCTCTTCCATCGCCATGACCACCGAAACCGCTCCTTCCTCGTCCTCCGGCGAACTCGGAAGAAGATAAGCCAACCCGCCGAACTGCATACAAGCCCTTCCCATATAAATCGGCTTCCCCCACCCAAAATCGGCCTCATACACCGGCATACCCATCCAACTAACCACCCACAAATCCGTCTGCGGCATCACCCACCCATCCTTCCTCAGCCCGGACTGATTCACCTTCCCCTCCAAGTAATCCACCAAAGACCTAACAAATTCGTCATCAAGCGCCTTCACCGCATCCTCGATTCTTGCCGCCGTCTCCTCGAAGTCCGACAAAATTTTTCCCGCCGTCATCTTCGTCGACGTACGGAAGACAGCGTTGCCAAGGTAGCCATCCGGGAGAGGCGGGCGCAGGCGGGATCGAGTATCGGCTGCGATGTAGATTCGGGTCGAGATGGATGGGTCGAGGCCGCGGGCCTTGCAGGCGGAGCGCCAGATTAGGGAGACGAGGGCTTTGAAAGTGGAAATAGGGGGTTTAGGGTTGTTGTTGGTGGGAGGGTTTTTGAGGAGGTGGAGATGGCGTTTGGAGAGTTTGAGGATGGCGGAGGTGAAGGAATGTTTGGTGGAGGAAGGAGGAGAGGGAGTGGATTGTGGGTAGCTGTCGATGTGGGTGGAGTCTACGAATGGAGGGGAGCGGGCCCGGAGGACGGTGCGGTTGAGGGATGGGAAAATGGGGACGTGAGTTTTCGTGCGCGTAATTTTGGCCCACGTGTTTATGAAGTTGAGGGCGCCGAGGCCGTCGGCGGCGGTGTGGTGGATTGCAGTGCCGAGGCAGACGCCGCCGCACCGAAAGAAGGTTAGCTGTAAATCAGCGGGACGGGAAAATATCAGGAGGGATTATTTTGTAAATATAAATATTTCTGATGTTCTCTGTGTCATTTTTTCTTTTTAATTTTAGTGCTCTTTGATGTAAATCTCATAATTCTTATGTATTTATTTATCTAATACTTGACTATTATTATTTTTTTAAAATAAAGTATATGTTCTCATTTATAAATTTATGATACCTTTAGATATCTAAAAAATAAAAATTATGTGATATTTTTTTATAAATTCCTTTGATTTGTTTTTTTTTAATATAATAAATATACGTTATTTAATTTTAACCAAAAACAACCATACAAGACAAAAGAAAAGAAAAGAAAGCAATTTATATTTTAAACGTTGCATTTAAATTAAAATTTAAAGTAAATTTATATTTTTGAGAAAAAATTGTAAAAATAGATTAAAAAATGAAATTTTGACTTGTTTTTTCAATTATTGATTTATTTTCTTAAAAAACTGAAATTCATTCAAACTGTTTATTTTATAAATTTGAACAAAATAAATTTATTAAAAATTTTATTTAATATATGTATTTATAATGTGTAATGAATTGAAAAAAAGAAATGCGATTGCTGTGATGTGTTTTTATAAATTTAGAAATATTAAATTAGCTAATTATTAAAATATATTAATTTGAGTAATAATAACATTAAAATAATTAATAAGTGATTATTAGTATATTTAAAATCAATATAAATAAATAGTATTTGGTAAATTTAAATGTAAAACCTTATTGACTAATACAAAAGTTCAATAATCAATTTAAGAGAAATATTTACAAAATTGTATGTGTTTTTGGAATTGGAATAATTGATTGATGGTATAAAACAATAACTTATTTTTTTTACTTGCTTTATAAACGTAGTTTTATTGAAGAATAACACCAACATTTTTTTGCATAAATTATTTGCTGATTAATTAAATTAAAATTTAACTAAAAATTTATTATTGATTTAATAATTCAAGCACAATAATTTTAAATATTTTTAAAATATATTAATATTTTTTTTTATTTTAACAAAATATTTAATAATTCAAATTGAATTAATTTAAAATCATTGAATATGAAAATTGAAATTACGTTTCAAGAAAAAGTACTTTTAATTTGATTTTTCAGAAAAAAAAAACGGAATTTTAAATGCCTTATATGCTCCATTTTAATAAGGGGCATTTACATAAATACCACCCAATTCCTATTAATTTACATATTTTTACAGCTAAACTTTGTTATTTTACATTCATTCGACCCAAATTGTTTAAATAACATAAAAAGACCATTGATGTGTGCTAAGAAATTCGCGGTGATATAGTAATGAATTATCATCTTAGCATTACTCGAAGATTCAACACACGCTCGGATAAAAGAAAATAATCAGTAGAGACGCCAAAAGTTTTTTAATAAAAAACCCAGAGAAAAAAATCACGGAGTCTGACCCAATTATAAAAATCCACTACAAGTTGATAATCACAACAACCACTTCTTCCACTGGCGGGAATTTATTAGAATATCTCCCAAGTTACAACGTTGATGTGTGGATAAATTTGTTGCCACGAACGAGTTACGACCAAAGCGATTGGCAACAACCAACAGGTGATGGTTGGCGGTGATCGGTCGCAGTCGACAATAACACGAGCGGTGTTTGGCTTCAGCTCCTCAAAGCTTGAAGCGCCTTTTCAGGCTTCATACCCAAACCCCCTCTCTCATAAGAGAGATAAAGCTATATTTATAGAGTTATGAGTGCAATTAATGTAAGAATATAAACAAATTTGATCAGACAACTTAGAGACCTTCCCTCGATCAGACAATGTTTGATGACATTTGAGTGCCTTAACGATGTTGGAATTGAGCGATATTATGGTCATTAGATTCATCTTGTCAAGACGCTTGATATGAACTCGTCGGATTTGACATTGACTTGACCTTCCAAATGTTCTCTGATACCTTACATATGTGACTTAATGGCTTGATATGAGCTTGATTTGACTTGAATTGGAACAATTTTGGTATCATAGGGTCTGACTCATCGAATCGGTCAGTTTGACTATGAGATTGTTGAAATTGGACTCTGGATGACTCTTAATCAATATTTAATTTTTTTTTCTTCAAAAAATTGTCTCGAGTTTCATATCATGCATGCATCGATATATAAAAATCAGAATGTAAACAAAGATTTGTTGGGTAGTATTTAAAAAAAATTTAACTAACTCTAATCAGTTAAAATTATTAATTAAAAAAATAGAAAAAAATATATTCAATTTTATTTAAATGTTGTTTTAATATAAATAATAAGATTTAAATCAAGGTCCGACCTTTAACATCCTACGACTGCGTGACTAGAGTTTTCAAAATGACTATTTGTTCGTGAATAACTCGTTCAACACGCTAAGCAAGTGAGCTGAAAAAACGAACAATTTTTTTATGTTCAAAATATAAATGAGTCAAATACGAATAATAATGTTTTTAAAGGAGTCGAACATAAGCTAAATCTAAAGCTTGCACGTGTTGATTACACACTTAATTTTAGGAAAAAAATTTTCATACAGAGTGTGGACGCAGCTTTGCGTGCGAACACCAGTAATATGCTGTCATATGTGTAGGGCTGTAAACGAGCCGAGCTCGAGCAAGCTCAGGCTTGGCTCGTGTTCGGCTCGTTCGAAATAGCTCGTGTTCGAAATCGGCTCGTGAACAGTGTGTTCGTGTTCGGCTCGATTTAAATATTCGTGTTCGTGTTCGGCTCGAAATTAGCTCGTTAAACTAAAATTGAGAAAAATATATGTAAAGTGTGAGATTCGAACCTGGATCAAATATATACAAAAGAAGACACTAACCACATTGTCACATGAGATGTTATTATTTAAACTTAGACATAAATATATATAATATATTATTATATAATGAACACGAAGCGAACAAATTGTTGTTCATGTTCGGCTCGTTTAAATTTTGAGCTTAAAAAATTGTTTTTGTTCGGCTCGTTAGGCTTAACGAACAAGTCGAACCCAAGGTGCTCGAACACAAGCTGCTTAGCGAGCCGAACACGAGCTGTTCACGAACAACGAGCCAAATTGGCAGCCCTACATGTCTGGTACATCGGACCCACATTAAAAAATATTAAAACGAAACCGTGAAGACTACTGGACGGGAATAGCAGAGATTATTAAGGTATTAACTCCCATAAAACCATAATAACCCCCCCCCCCCCCCCAAAAAAAAAAAAAAAAAAACCCAGGAAAAAAAAACAAAAAAATCGGTTTCATTTTAATAACCCTCGAATAACAACTCTAATGAGTTTCTAATAACTCTACAATAACCTCCAAATAATTTTTTTAGTGTTCTTTTGAGATTATTGAGGGTTATTGGGGGTATTAACTCCATTAACCCCGCAATAATCACTCAATAACACCATTAGGTGAATCACTCCAATAACCACCGCGTTCCGCTTTAATAATGCTCGCGGTTCTACATTAATACTTTTTCGGTGTTATTTGGTGTTATTGAATTTAATTAAGAGATTATTAATGTATTAACTCTAATAACGCTATAATAACCCACAATAACCCCAATAATACCGTGCCATCAATAACCTCTATTTTTTTTAGGTAGGCCCATGTAGGAGACGTGATGACATATTAATTAATGGAATGTGCAAGCAAATTTATGCTATTCATATTTCCTTGTACCTCTAGTACTGTCGGACGTAAATGGAATAATATTCTGAAGTTTAATTTCCTGTTTAGCATGTCTTTTTCCACTATTTTTTTTTTTTAAATTAGTACAGACACCACATGCCATTCATTTCAGCTCTCTTTCTCCCAATCCATTCCAGCTTTTATTTCCGTTTTGGGAAAGCGTACCCGATCTCCTTCCATTAATTGTCCGCTTTCTCTTTCTGCTCCTCTCATTTATTTTCTTCTCTTCGGATCTGGTCATTGTCTGTTTTTTACTGTATTATGAAGTCATCAATTATTTTTATCTTGAATAATAAATATATCGATCCTCTTGGATCACGTTCGGAATAATAAATAGAAAATTTCCATAAAATATAGGCACGAGAACCGCTCTTAATAATTAAGTTCTGAGAGCTAGGGTCCGTTCGAGGCAGCTTATAAGTGTGTGCGGTTGTATCGTTTGGTTCGTGTGTTTCGTCAGCTTATCCGAAACTGTGTTAGGGTTTTTATACTAAACGCGGGTCGACCCCTGCGGCCGACCGATGGGTCGCGTTTCAGGATAGACAGTTTATCCTGAAACGCACAAGCTGCCCCAAATGGACTCTTAGCTGTTGTCAATCACTATCGACCATCGTCAATCACTGACTGTCGGTGATCACCACTAATCGACGTTATAACTTGGAAAATCTAATAATAATTTCTTGTCTGTGGGATACCGAGTCTCTATAATGATCAAACTATTGTGAATTTTTACATCTGAGCGAGACCCCGTGATTTCTAGTGTCAGTAGTGTGTTGAATTCTCGTGCAACGCTAAGACAACAATTCATTATTGTACCACCGTAAATTTTTATGCACGCATCAATTATGTATAAATTGCCTTGTTATAAATTACGTGTAAATAATGTGTCTGTCTTCCTCCCTAAATTCTCTCGTTTAAATTAATTTTAATTCGAAATTATATCATTATTTTGCAATAAAAGGCAAAATCACATAATCATACAAAACTATAATAAAATGATTTAAACAATTAAATCTTAATATAAATATATATACGCTATATTATTATATAAATAATAATATAATTTCCATATAAATATATTACGATTTTTTTTTACCAAAAACGACTATCAATTAATTACAAACCATTAAAATTTAAAAGTAAAGGTCGCGTGAGGCACGCTGTTCCATAAAATTAATAAATTATTGAGGCATTTACGTATATGCCACCTAATACATATATTTATATATTTAATGCCTAATTTTATTTTTATATTTATTCCACTCAACTTTTTTTTTTTAATGTAAAAATTGAAAGAGACATTTACATACATACATTATTCATATATAGTTATATATTCAGCACCCAAAATGATAAATTTATATTAATAACACTGAAATTTATAATAACACATCAAAAATTTCAATATTATTTATTTTTTAATAGTGAAATATACATCATATGCATACATTATTAATGGATTCAAGCTATCCTCTTAAATTTTCAATGAAGATAAAGTTTTAAAAATATTAAATTTTATTTAAATTAAATATTTATGATTATCCTTAGAAAAAATAACTAATTTTCAAATTCATTTTAATAAAAATACATTAGATATTCTATAGATATTTTTAAGAGAATTTAAGTTAGATTTAACTTAAATCCAGCCATCATTAATTAAATACCATTTTTTATTCTTATATTTATTAAATCCGGATTTGCTAAAACTACTTGTAAGTTGATTCTAACTGATTTAGCATGAAAAAAATATTATAAATAGATTTATGTCAAATACATCAAATTGAACTTAATTAAATTTAACTTTAACTGAACCAAGCATCATTTCGGATTTAATAAATAACCCACGGTGAGCTCACCTGAAACATGACGAGCGGAACAACCGCCTCGTCGGCGCCGCCGGTAGACGGAACAAGAAGCCGTCGGAGCTCATCCGACGGCGCGAAATCCCCAAAATCTTCCATTTTCGATTCAGAGCGAGCGACGACAAAGAGAGCACCTTCGGCCGTGCATCGAATGGAAGGGCGACCATCGGGGCCGGTGACGAGGCGGCCGGCGAGAGGGTAGAATGGGACGAGGGCACGGGCAAGGCTGGACTTGAGGGTTTCCGGCGAGAAGAATCCGGCGTCGTTGAGCGGGGGGCGGTAGAAGTAGACGGTGGGGGTGTGGAGGCGGGAGGCGAGGAGGTCGAGGTTGGAGAGCCAGATGTCTTCGGCGGGGGTTTGTTCGCTGGGAACTACGACTGCATGTTCCAGGGTTTCGATCTCGATGGGCGAAGCACACATTTTAAGGTGTGTTTTTGTGGGAGGCTCGTTTGGTGCAGAGGGAGAGGCTACATGCAGAGTTTATAGGATGGCCAGTCGGTTGCAAGCTGGCGTCGGCTTAAATTTAAATATTATTTTTATAAATGGGTTAAATTCATGGCATTGTGTAGAGAGATATACGTACATACCACTCAATTCAGAAGTATTTATACATGTAGCCCTTAAAATTCAGGTTTTACATACACATAATCTTATCATGCATGTACGCGCATCACCTTTTCAATATTAAAATGTTTTTTTTTTTTTTTTTTTGTGATACCAAAGATTTGGGTAATGTTAAAAAAAATATATTAAAATATTATTTTTTTTTTAATTTTTAGAGAATTATTAAACACGTGTGATAGAAGAAAACTCTTTGAACCGTCAAATCAAAATGATTCATGTTGCTGCATTAATTGCACCAAGAACCGAGAAGAAGCTTCAGCTCAACATCACCGTCGACCACCGTCAACCACCGCCATTCGCTGTCGACCTTGAGAGACCATCGAAGACCTTCATCGACCACCGCCTACAGCCGTCAGCCACCGCCGACCTCCGTCGACTATTGCCCATAGTCTTCTATCACTGCTGATCTTCATCAACCATCACTAACGACTATCGATCACCAACAATCATTGTCTATCACCACCAACCAGAGGTTGTCTGTGGACGCTGTAATATGAAAAATATAGTTATCATTTCCTGTATGCAGGACAAAAGATTTTTGTAATCATCAATTAATAGTGGATTTTTCGCAATTGGGGCAGACCCGTTATTTTTCCATTATATATATATGTGTATTATTTTTAAATAATTTAATTGACTACATGACTAAAAAGATTAATAATCAATTAAATTTATTAATTAAAAAAATAGAATAAAAAATTTTAAATTCTATTTAAATGAATATTTTAATATAAATAATAAAATTTAAATCTCGCCCCTGCCCAGAATATTCTACGACTGCGTAAAAAGAGCTGTCAAAACGGCTTATTATTCGGGAACTGCTCGATAAGCAAAATAAGTAAACAATAATAATTTTTTTGTGTTTGATATATAAATGAGTCCAAGACTAATAGTGGCATTTTTTAATGTCAAACACAAGCCGAGCATGGGCTCTCTCAAGCTCGGCTCGTTTATACCCCTACTTCGGCTCATCACCAAAAATCCTGCATGAATCTCGATGCATTTTAGGTAACAAATCTTCCAAGTCGAATTCAAAATCATTTAAGCTCTCATTTTAACAAATTTATAGCTAAATTGAACACCTCGACACTACAAGCCTAATGAACCAGAAGGTGATTCAATCCTATATCAAACATTTGAAGTGTAATCAAAAACATTTGGTGCATTAATTAGAGGGTTAAACAATCTCAATATTTGGCATGATTCTAGCCAAAATTAGCAGCTTAGACGAGAGAAATTCAAATGAGCCCAATATCAATTAAGTTTAAGGTCGTTTAAGCATTTAAATATTAGACAAAAAATGTCTGATTAAAGCATTCAATATGGACAATATGATGAAATATTTTTGGAGATTAACAAAAAATTTAAAAATATCTCTCGCAAAAACTATAAATAGACCCCAACTCTTCACATAAAGAGTGGAGAAAAGGAGAGCAAGTTAACAACTAAGCTATAACTTAGTAAAAAGAAGTTCATGTAAACAACTACCAGGCAATATAGACCACCACAAATTACAATTAGCGTAGCCAAATTATGATAGTTGTAGCCATCAAATAGTGTTATAACAACCAACTATAATTGTTGTAACATAATTATAATTGTTACAACCAAACCATTAATATCCTATAATAACTCATATTCTTCAATTTAAGAAAATAAAAGACCTATGTAATTATGTACTTTCATTTTTCTAATAGATTATTTTGAATAAACTAGACCCAATGATTTTAAATAAACTACAACTAAAAAATAAAAAACAGAAATACACCGTCCATCTCTCCAAATTAAACCTAATCCCATCAGGTTCAGACACGAGCCGACTCAACTCCCCCAATCTCTTCATAAAACACGTCCTTAAACCGCCCCATGTTCTCCTCCTCCATCGCCATCAGCACCGAAACCCTACCCTCCTCATCCTCCGGTGAACTGGGCAAAATATAAACCAACCCACCAAACTGCAAAGTTGCTCTTCCCATGTAGAACGGCTTTCCCCATCCGAAATCGGCCTCGTAGATTGGCAAACCCATCCAACTAATCACCCAAAGGTCGCTCTCCGGCATCACCCACGCCCCTTTCCTCGCCCCAACCTCATCCACCTTCTCCTGCAAGTAATCCAACAATGACCTAACAAACTCATCATCAATCCGCTTCGTCATCCCATCGATTTTCGCCGCCCCTCTGAATTCCAACACCTCCTCCGTCGCAGCCTCCACCGACACGCGGAAGATGGCGTTCCCGAGGTAGCCGGCGGGCAGAGGTGGACGAAGGCGAGATCGGGAGTCGGCGGCCACGTAGAGCCTGGTGCGGGTGGTTGGGGTTAGCCCGCGAGCCTTGCAGGCGGAGCGCCAGATGTGGGAGACGACGGCTTTGAAGGTGGAGAGGGGGGGTTTGGAACTGTTGCTGGGGGAAGTGGTTTTGAGGAGGGAGAGATGATGATCGGAGAGTTTGAGGATGGCGGAGGTGAAGGGAGGGTGAGTGGAGGACGGAGAGCGTGGGGGTTGGGAGTATTCGACGTGGATGGAGGTTACGGAAGGAGGGGAGCGGGCTCGGAGAAGGGTGCGGTTGAGTGAGGGGGGAATGGGGATGGGGTGTTGGTACGGGTCAAAGTAGACCATGAATTTATAAAATGGAGGGCTCCAAGGCCATCGGCGGCGGTGTGGTGGATGGCGGCGCCAAGGCACACGCTGCCGCACCTGAAGAAGGTTAGCTGCAAGTAAAAAATTAAATTTAACTTAATAACGAATTTTTCTAATTTATTTATTATGTTTAGCTAAATTTAAGTTAAATCTAACTTAAATGTTTTGTACCAACAATATGCTCTGCATGTAAATATTAAGCGGCTAAACCCGAAAACTCACCTGAAACATAACAAGGGGGAGATCAGTATCCTCGGTACCAACGGAAGGAACAAGAAGCCGTCGAAAGTCATCGGAGGGCGCAAAATCCCCCAAATCTTCCACGGCCGATTCAGATCGGGCGACTACAAAGAGGGCACCCTCGGCCGTACATCGAATGCAGAGACGACCCTCCGTGCCAGCAGCGAGGCGGCCGGCGAGAGGGTAGAATGAAACGAGAGCTCGAGCAAGGGTGGTCTTTAGGGTTTCCGGCGAGAAGAATCCGGCCACATTGAGTGGGCGGCGGTAGAAATAGACCGTTGGTGTGTGGACTCGCGCAACGAGAAGGTCGAGGTTGGAGAGCCAGATCTCCTCAGCTGGGGTTTCCTCGCTGGGGATCACTAATCCCTTTTCCAGTATTTCGATCGCCGGATAGTTCCTCATTTTGCAATTTGGTTTGCCAGTTGAAGGCTTGATAGATGTTCGTTTTATAGCAATGTGGATGAAGTTTACTGGTTTAGTTCACAAATTTGTACTACTGGTAATTCACGAAAGGCAAAGGCAACAAACATCCTGGGTCCTGCTTCATTCAGGACAAGCACGTGAGACATCACGTGATTTATATAAAAAAGTTTTAAATGCAAATATACCAATTTTTTTTATGCCTCGTACCATTTGTTATTTAAATGCAAATTAAACTTGGAAATAAGCGAGATAAACGCGCGCGCTCACACACACACATAAAAGTATAATTGTATTTAAAAAAATGATGTATCTCAAATATTTTAAAATTATTTTGTTAGCGTTCTACCTGCCGCTGCAAGTTTTGAGCTCATCCCACATGCGTGTAGCTACCCTCCTTGGCACTTGAGTACACTTGGTAAGGCAAGGGCAATTATCTTCAAACAGGCGTCTGGTTGGTGGTCATGGAGAGTGATTCAGTTTTGCTCGCTCTCATGAGGGCTCCTTTCCAGTGAGTGTTGGTGCGATCACACGGTCCTTCAGGGGATTGAAGGTAAGTTATATTCTTCTGCCAATATATAGTTATTGGCGAGTCCCAATAACTCGGCTAATATCTTTGGTCACTACAGCCCCAGCGCAGGGAAGAAAAGACCTCGCAGCCCTTGAGCGAGAACTACATGGGCGACTATAAGATCCAGCTCTTTTAGTTCCAACATCTCTTTCTAGAAGCATGTTACGAAAGCGCTCAACGAATCTATGTGTCCTTATCGCAATTGCAGCAGTGCATAGGAACTCTTTTGTTGATCATATAAGTTTCTTGTTGATATATCAAGAATCTTCGTCTTATGTGTTTAGGGCTGCAAGTCAATTGAACTAAATCAAATAAGTGCTTCTTCTAGCTGATGCTTCTTTAAGAAAATCTTATTTGAGTTCGACTTGAGCTTAATATTGGCATTCAGGAACATGCACAAGTTTAGTTTGTTTAAGCTCGCCTCCAACTCAAATTGGAGCTCAATTCGAGCTCAGTTCATATTAAATTATCAAAATTGTTAGCAAGCAACTCATTTAACAAAATAAATAGCTTTGATTGAGCCTTATCTGAGTTTTAACCAAGCTTTATTCAACACCTTATTTAAAAAAATAACCGAGCTTTATAAAATCGTACTTATTGATCTTAAAAAATAAGCTATTATCTACAATTGAGTTTTAAGTAATCTTCTAAGCAAGATTATTCACAATTTAAATTATATTTCATGATCTAATCAAGCTCGTTCATTTAAAGAACGAGTAGTTATAAAAACACGCATGCTCGTTAGATCAACAAATCAAACGATCATAATTGTGCTTTAATAGAGTCGAGCCTCGAGCAATTTATCAAATGCTTAATTCATCAGCAAACTTATCTATGATAAAGACTCTTAAAGCAGGACGTTGATTGAGGAATTCATTCAAATTTTATATTCACTCATTTGCATGGTTTATGAATAAAAGACGACTAATGAATTTTATAAAAAGCTTGAATAAAGAAATTAATAAAGATTCAAAATTTACAAAATTAATGTGCGTGAATTAGCTTCTGCGGTGAAGTCGCATGCGACCACTTCATGATGGCAAGTGATAACAATTCAATGGTCAAATTTAATATCTCTGACGGTTTCAGGCCTGAGAGAAGTTGATAGTAATATTCTGATTTTATTTTCTTTTTTAACCCAAGCCATGTAGAAACTATTTGCATACATACCACTTTATTTCTATGTATTTACATAAATGGTAACTAAACCTTAATCTTTTTAAGTGTTAAAATAATTTTTAACCCGTATTGTAATCCCAGAGTTTATAAAAATGATAAAAGAATTTCTTAATATTTTAAAATTGAGCTCTAATTATTTCAACCCAAATTTAATAAGTCTTGAGGGTCTGTTTGGGGCAGTTTATGTGTTTCAGGATAAGCAGTTTATTTTGAAATGCGGCCTGCGGGTCAACTGCAGGGGTCGACCCGCGGCCTGTGTTTAGTGTGAAAAACTCAAACGCGACAGACAACATTTTCAACACGCAAACCAAAACACCGCCGCACTTATAAGCGGGCACTGAATCTAATTTGACGCTTTACACAGCCCCATATAAACGATCGAGAACTATTTTGACACTTTACTGTTTAATTTTTATATATATGTCATTTTATTTTTGCGAAAGGAATATCCCTTATTAAAAATTAAGAGTATGATATTTTTTATATGACATGGAAGATTTGAGTGATATAAATGTTATATATATATATATGTCCCATATATAAATACACAAGTTTTGGGTGATATGTAGTTGAATGCCCCTTAAAAATATTATATGTATTTGAACAAATATAAATTTAATTAATCAGTTAATTATAATAATGTGAATTTATCATTATTATAGATTTCTCTTTATCCTAATTTTGTTAAAATTCTCGCCATTTTTATAAATAAAATAAAATGAAATAATAGCGAATGGAGTATACAAGTTCTAAACATGTGGAGTCAATTGGTACATGTTAGCTGCCAAATAAGGTCGAAGTTGGGCCACCGAGCTCATTTATATGCGTTTAATGCATAAACTCAATTCGTTGGGAATATTTTAGGTATTAAATTTCTGAAAGGCATTGAGGCCCATAGAATGGTAGAAGTGGGGTTGGGCTCTTAATAATGGTTTGTTAAGTAAATTGCATGGAATTATTTGTTAATTAAGAAGCGGAACATAATAAAATTTTTAAATTTAAATTATAAAAAAATTAAACACAAACAATCCTTTGTTCGCTCAAATTAAAAATCATCAATAGCTCGGATTTCAACAAATTTATAGTCAAACTGACGACACGACGAGACATGCCCAAATGAAAAGGTAATTGGCTCGGGACGACCGATCACACCAAAAGTAAGTCATCGACATGTGACAATCGATCAAACCCAAATGAAAAAACAATGGGCACAGGGATGACCGATCACACCCAAAGTGGGTGATCGACACTTAACGGTCAATTGAGCCCAAAGGATCGGTTGATCACCCCGGAACGGCCATGATCAATTACTCTTTCTTTTGGGTCTGATTGATTGCCCTTTGTCGATCACCGGCTTTGGGTTTGAACGGTCGTCTCGGGCTGAAAACCCTTTCTTTTGGGTTGAATCAACCGCCCCGTATAGATCACCAACTTTGGGTTTGATCGGCAATCTTGGGCCGATTACCAGCTCTTTTGGGCTTGATCGATCTCCTCGACTCGATTGTCATATCTTTTGGGTTTGATCTTCAACCTCAGACCTATTACCCACTTTTTTGGGTCCGACTGATCGTTCTAGATCAGCCGACTCACTATCTTCGGTTTGACCAGCAGTCACGGACTGGTTAACCAATCAATTGCATTCTTGTATGTTTTCTGCATCATATTGCAAATTTATTTACACATGTATGAAAATCTTATTTTGACTTGATGTCTATGATATCTCATTACATATAAAATATTTTTGTCTTGTATGCTTTGCTTGTTGCATGTTGCATGTTGCATGTTTGGATGTCTCTTTGAGTATCTATTCTTGGGGTGTCTCTCTGAGCACCCCCACTCGTGTTATTTCTCTGAGTGTTCAAACTTGTAAGTGTATTCCCCACATACGACGTTGTATGCATGAGGACGTACACTTGCACACTTTGGGAAGTGTTGGCTCACTAATAGACCATCTAACACACTTCCTACGACACAACCTAGAGTGTCGTAAGTATTTCACTTTATGTTAAGCACGAGTCACGCTTCCTAACCATTAACTCATGTGAGGCACAATGTGTGTACACCTAAGTGTATGATTCTCACTTATAAGGATCACATCTCTTATTATGTTTTGCACTTAGCATACTAGTATGTTTATCATTTGTAGGTCATATGTTTGACATTTCTCACATATTTACTGCAATCTTTCATGTTTTCATGTGTGCTCGATAAGTGCCTCTCGGGTATGGTGTAAATTCTTTTCATAGGTATATTTTTACTCGTTACAAACTCACTCGTAGCTGATATCTACTCGTTGCATGACACCCTGGGTCCTCCGAACAGATGCGATTCCTTTCCATAGGTTCTTGCTTGTTTGTATGTTTTTCTATTTATCTTGATGACTTATCCTACTGGTTAGGAGGGTAACCATAGAAGCTTATTGCTTAGGTAATTTGTATGTTATCTATAGTGATTTTTGTCATTAATGGATAATTAATCACCTTAAAAGTTTTAAGCTCGCTATATATATACATGTGAATTGAGCGGTATGTATGTAAAAATTCCTTAAAAAGTTTCGTGCAACACCATTGTTTAAGCTCCTATGCATTCCATTTAGTCCCACTTTCTGTTTTAAGTGGCGAAGCGTGCATCTCCTGAGAACTGAACAGAGTCAACCGTGTAAGCTTACAATGTTGTATTCGTGGATTGCTGGCTCATATTTTGTCAGCCCACTATTAAATTTTCGGGCTAATTGGATACTCATTTAAAAACCAGGGGTAGTTGGGCTAGTGGGCCTGTAGCTGGCCTATGATCGTGCATGGAGAACACAATTCACCCATGATGTTTCAATAGCAAAGGAGTAAAGAAGCATTTTTCTATGTCCTGGCCTGCATACATTTTAAGTTTCAACCATTGATTGGCGCACCATTGTATTTATGCATGAAGCATGCATGCATGGAAGCTAAGGACTTATATGGGATTAATATTAATTTTTGTTTTATTTTTTTTAATATATTTATTTACAGAGATTGCATGCAAGGAGATTTGTTGTTGTGGCTTTGAATAAAGATTGGTTTGAAATGTATTAGTTTAACTATTGATTGAGATTGCTTCTTATTTATTCGACAAGCAAAGACTTTTAGCAACGATTTTAAATATTTTTATGCAGTTTATTAATATTTTTAGCAGTGTTTTTTAAAGTGTTTCTAAATGCTCATTTAATAATTCTATTTTGAGTAACATGTACATAATTTGAAAAGAGAGAAAATCATTCAAATTCAACGGTTACATGTATTAAAATGATACAAATTGGAAAAATTAGTAGGCTAAATAATATGGAGGTAAAGCAGGTTCAAAAATTGTCTTTTATATAACAATGTTATATTAAATACAGTGATAAAGTTCCATTGAAGCTCTTAATGTTAAATTTTTGGGAGAATACTCATGAGATTGTAATTTTTCTTTCATGTACTTTCATTTAATTTCAAGTTTAGTCAATATCCAGGCTAAATTAGGCTCAGCTGAACTATTTCAAACCCTACTCATTATATGTCCTTGTTGTAGGGCTGTCAAAATAGCTTCTTGTTGGTGAATCTCTCATTTTCGGCTTATTAAGTAGTTTATGTTGGTTCATTCACCAAGTAAATGAGCTATAATATAATTTTTTTTTGCACCCAAATATATAAACGAGCATAGTGTTCGGCTCGTTTTGGCTCAAAATAATTATATATCTATAATTTATGGTATTATTTCTAAATAATTTAATTGGCTACAAGACTACAAAAATTTATAATCAATTAAAATTATTAATTAAAAAAAAGAATAAAATTATATTATTATATTTAAATAAATATTTTAATATAAATAATAAGATTTGAATCTCGCCGTTGCCCATAACATCCTACGGTTGCGTGACTAGACATGTGAAAACGGCTTGGTGTTCGCGAACAACTTGTGTTCGGCTCGATAAGCAAAAAAGTCGAACACAAATAAAGTTTTTGCGCTTGATAATGATATTTTTTAAGAAGTTCAGCTCGCTCAACACAAAAAACGAGCTGAACACGAATAATGATATTTTTTAACAAGTCAAACACGAGCCAAGCCTGAACTCGCTCAAGTTCAGCTCGTTTACACCTCTAGTTTGGTTAATCACCAAGAATCCAATATGAATCTCAATGCATTTTAGGTAACGAATATTCCAAGTCGAATTCAAGATAATTTAAGCTCTTATTTTAACAAATTTATAGCTATATTGAGCATATCGACACTACGAGTCTAATGAAACAAAATGTGATTCAATCCTATAATAAGCATTTGAAGTGTAATTGAAGGCATTTGGTGTATTAATAAGTGGGTTAAACAATCTCTACATTTGATATGATTATAGTCGAATTTAGCAGAGAGAAATTTGCATAAGCCCAATATCAATTAATTTTGAGGTCCTTAAAACATTTTAATGTTGGACGAAAATTGTGTGATTAAAGCATTCAACATGGACATTATATTGGAGTGTTTTGGTCGATTAACTAAATTTTTCAAAATGTTCCTCTAAAAAACTATAAATAGACCCCAACTCTTCACATGAAGAGGTGGAGAAGAGAAGAGCAAGCTCACAATTAAGACATAAATTAGTGAAGAGAAGTTCATGTAAACAACTGCCAGATAGTTATAGCTGTAAACTAGTGTTATAACTACCAACTGTAATTGTTGTAACATGATTATAATTGTTGCAACCAAATCACTACTATATTATAACGACTAACCCTATCTTTTAATTTCATATTCTTCAATTTAAGAGAATAGAAGATATATGTACTTACAATTTTTTAATTGATTTTTTTGAATGAACTAGGCGCTGTAATTTTAAATTTCGGATAAAATAAAATAAAATAAAAAATAACTCCACCGAATTAAACCTAAACCCATCCGGTTCAGAGCCGAGCCGACTCAACACCACCAATCTCTTCATAAAACACCTCCTTAAACCGGCCCATGTTCTCCTCCTCCATCGCCATCACCACCGAAACCCTACACTCCTCGTCCTCAGGCGAACCCGGCACAATATAAACCAACCCACCAAACTGCAAACACGCTCATATAGAACGGCTTTCCCCATCCGAAATCGGCTTCATAGATTGGCAAACCCATCCAACTAATCACCCAAAGGTCGCTTTCCGGCATCACCCACCCCCCTTTCCTCACACCAACCTCATCCACCTTCTCCTCCAAGTAATCCACCAATGACCTAACAAACTCATCATCAATCCGCTTCGTCATCCCATCGATTTTCGCCGCCGCTCCGAATTCCAACACCTCCTCCGTCGCAGCCTCCGCCGACACGCGGAAGATGGCGTTCCCGAAGTAGCCGGCGGGCAGAGGTGAACGGAGGCGAGATCGGGCGTCGGCGGTCACGTAGAGTCTGGTGCGGGTGGTTGGGGTTAGCCCGCGAGCCTTGCAGGCGGAGCGCCAGACGTGGGAGACGACGGCTTTGAAGGTGGAGAGAGGGGGTTTGGAACTGTTGTTGTGGGGAGTGGTTTTGAGGAGGGAGAGATGATGATCGGAGAGTTTGAGGATGGCGGAGGTGAAGGGAGGGTGAGAGGAGGTCGGAGAGGTTGGGGGTTGGGAGTATTCGACGTGGATGGAGGTTATGGATGGAGGGGAGCGGGGGCGGGGAAGGGTGCGGGTGGGGGGGGG